CAAAAAAAAAAAAAAAAAAAAAAAAAAAGAAAAAGCAAGAAAAAAACAGCGATAATAATTTTCTTTATCTTCTCAACATGATAAGAAAAAGAAGAAAGAGCAATGTTAAAAATTCAGTTAAAAAGAATAAAATTCTGCAATGACGTAAACTATTAATATAAAGTTACCAGATATATTACCGGATACTAATGACATCTTGTCGGATAGTAAAAAAGTGTCGAATAATGTCAATTACCTGATATTTCCCAGATATTCGGCGCATCCCTAATTAAAATATTTGGATAATTCAAATGTTAAAAAAGTATAAAAATAAAAAGCATTAAAATAAAAATAAATAATTATTAAAATAAAAATATCAAATTAATACTAAAAAATACTTACGAAAATCTTTGCCTTTAGTATTTGCGTCATGGCATATGTCAAACCCAATGACCATTAATCCTTTCAATGGGTTCTCGATAGTCCAAGGTGCTCCGCCTAATTTACAGTTCATTTGTATTGCTACCTTCGTAGCAATAGTCATGGTGTTTCTACCATTCAAATTTTTTTGTAAAAAAACTTGTGACGGCACAGGTCTGTCTAAGCAACATTTTTTTTTTATAGCTGCATACCGATCGCTACGATTATTGCTCACTACGCAGAATATTAAATCTGGCGCATTTTTGCTCAAAATATATTCAAGGTTTTCGGCGTATGTGCCTGCCTTATCGTCACGTATGGCCTGTATTCGCGGCTGATCAACTCTGAATGCTATTCCATGTGACACTAACAGTAGCGTTTCTATAAATTTCTGTAAAATCCAAGATTGAAGTAAATATTTGCATACATATATGTATATATTTTATTTATTTATATATATATATACGTATTGATAGAAGTTATTTACATGTACAATGTGCATGTCTCGCTCAGTCACAAGTACTATCCAACGTCTCAACGCTGTAGATTTCAACATACGTGTTTTTTGCATGTCTCTCGTCCAATCTCCATTTAAACTGTTTATATATCTATTATCAGCAAATAAAAGTCTTTCAGAGTTTAGTAGCCTACCAGGAAACTCTAACAAATTCTTGTCTAATGACATATTCCAATCTTTAAATTCTTGTAAGACTTTTGGTTCCTGGCGAAGTCTATTATTAAACCGCATAAGTTTGTCTATACGGGAGGTAGGTGAGATGCAGGTATGTACCGCTAATGCTTTCATTAAATGAAAGTTTTCCCGCATACTATCAGTTAAACCTGTAAAAAGGTTTCATCAGTACAAATTTATCTATATTTATTTATTAAATAAAAAATTTAAATATACACATTCAAGTGTCAAACGTACCTGTAGCACGGCACAATTCAGGAACCAAATATACAAGGTCTCCTTGTCCGGCATTTCGCATTCTTGGTTTGGTTCTTGTTACTAGCATAGGTTGCGAGGCACTTGAAATATTTATTTTATATTTAATTTTATAATACTCCTGATATGATATATGTTGTCCATCTTTCATCGGAAATGTCGAAGAAGGATTAGTTTCGAAATCTACGTCTTCAATTCGATAAGTGTGATTGTTGTAGTCCGTAAGTACCATAATTCCAATTACACTATTACAGAATTCTGTCTAAAATGTATATAATTCTTGTTATTTTTAGAGTACATAAAATAAGAAATACAACAGTATATAATCTATGACTCTTTTTAAGCAGAATTTTGGATCAACAGATCTTTCAAAGTTGCTCATATATTGTACATGAAAGTAAATTTAAGAAATGTTTGATATCTCTAAATTTATTTTTTTATTTTTTTTCTTATTGTGTAAAATGTAAACAAAAAATTTTCAATTGAATTGCTTATGAATAAAAGACAATATAAACACACACACACACACGCGCGCGCGCGCGCGCGCACACACATACTTTATGTATATTTAAATAAATCTTTATTACTTTTTGGACTCAATCTTAAAATATGTCACAAATTTAAATTAGATTTTGTATAAGTTTTTAAATAAATAAAATTAAAAACAAATATGCAAGATATACAAATAAAATTAATATTTACTTACTCTATAATTATCACTACGTCTGTAGCAATCCATTAATATATGATATAATGTTTCTTGACGCATTACTTTATGCGTTATTTCAGCGTTTAATAAAATGTCGCGTTCGTGTTGTCTAATGGATGTAATATAGCCGGGCCATAATTCCAATCGAAATTGATGTACACTAAGCTATATATATAATAATCGCATAGTTATTACAAAAATTATTAAATTTTCCAATCAATAAAATAAAGAAAAAGTATCCACATAAACTTTTTATTAACTTTATTATGGGCATCATAATAGTCGCGGCCCACCAATTGTAAATTTAAATGTTCCAATTGTTTCCTCATTATTATGTTAAAAATAGTTATATAATGTGGATCCTCAGGCATCATTCTTCCAACTAAATATATAATTATTTTAAAGGGTGTATTGTCCGATTTCCTTACTGACATCAGCTCGATTTTCTGAAATATTTCATGCATATTTATGAAAATATTTAATCGCACATATCTGCTAGTGCAATAGTATAAGATATATTTACATCTGGTAAACGTGTACTTGAAAACAGGATAGTACCATCAAAGATATATGGACCGACTTTATCTTTATGGAGTTTAAGCATGCCTTTGCGAATAAATGTTCGACTTTCTTCGGGTTCAAAATCTACCCTATACTGATACACACACCAATTGGGTACTGTAGGTAGTCTGAAGTGATTTGAACTAAGCATTATAGATGTACCAGATTTACCTATAAATTGATAGAAATTAATTACAAAAATAGTAATATTATTTATTTTCTGGCATGCCTATGAAAATTATAATATATACGATAAATAATTCACAATTTTATTATAAAAATATTTAATATTCCACAAGTTTTCATAAAATATTGTATTTCCAATCTCTAGTATCGTATCTGTTTCTTAGTAGAGTAAAACAAATCCTTACATGGGGAAAAAATTATAACAAAAATACGAAATTTGTAAAAAAATAATTTTACTTAAGTTGCATTTGAAATTATCTGTCCATTTTGAATGAATGCTAATATTGATATAATTTTTAATTTATTACTTTTCTTGTGACGGTTTCAAAAAAAAAATAAATTCAAAATTATATTATGTTAAACACGTATTAACACGAGCAGATAGAATTTGAAACAGAAACTTGATAAAATTATTTATTTATATATTGCAAATTTTTGTTATAACTTTTTAATGAAATATTTAAAAAAAATTTTTTTAAATTAAAACTCATAGAATATATCGTCAAAGTTTGTACAGAAAATGGTACTCTGTTTACATATTATACATAAATATTGCGCATAGCACATTAAGATTTTATACTAACCTTTTTTAGAGACTAAAGTACTGGGTCTACTAACAAAAGTAGATTCCATCTTACGTCGAGAACGTGTTTGTGTTGTCGTCTGTGCTGATTCAGCCCCTTCATTTTTCACTTCACTTTCCATTTCAGTTTTTATTTCAGTTTTGATACCTTTAATTATTATACATAAACATTTTTTTTTTAAACTTTGGCTAATTTAAATTTATTTTTCTAAATAATAGGAAAATTGAAATCTTTTATAGTTTCTAATTAAAAAGAAGTAGATTCTATTCATATAAAATTAATAATTAAGAAAAATTGAATAAGAGTATGATAAAAAGACATAAAAAACTTACCTGATACATCTTCCATTGGCTCATGTTTGGACGTAGATGGAACTGCATAATCGTCTACGCAATAATGCTATAATAGAACAACACATTGCCAATTCTTATAAATTTTATTTAATTTTATTTTCATAAATTTTTAAATTTTATTAAAATAAATTAGATTAATAGTATTTATGGCTCCAAGAATAAATCTAATAAAGTAAAATGCTTATATCAACTCCGGTTGTTAGTGCGAAATTACATATTCATAAGATAGTAAGATATGCATTGGAATGTTCTTATCAAAATTAACCATAACATTTTAACTCTAAATTTGATGCGGAAGTTCTCCTCTTTAATGCGGAAGTTCAGTACTAGGCGTCTGATATCTAGGCGATTGATATCTTCCCGCTTGAAATTAGTTTCCTCTAATCGAACACAACATATCCAGGATGAACTTATATTCGTGACTATCAGGTTCGCCAATGTTACTTCGAAACTACATATAACGCATACATAATGGCAAAAAAAAGCATTAATAATATAATTTACATTATTTTATTAATATGTATTATTACTAATATTAATAAATAATATCAATAATATCAAATCAATTTTTAAGAATTCAAAACATTGAGTATGATGCACTATAAGCAACTCATGATCTTGCACGAATATTTTGTTTATCTTTAGAACTTAAACAATATTTGAATTAATCTCGTTCTTTCAAAATTAGAGATGTTTAAAGATGTTTACATAAATAATGTATAAATATGATGTACGCAAATGGTCAAATGTTCATAACAGTAAGTGGATTCATCTAGCTCATTTCTGTGTAAAACACATACATTCATATACATTCATATAATATAATGTGGCTCAAGTATGAAATTAAATGAGAGTGAGTTAAGAAGGATTACGAACCAAAATAACAAATTTAATGTACGTGGTATACAAATAGATACAAATAAAAATAAAAATATGACTACATTAAAATAACAAACGTTTCGACTCTGATCGGGTCATTATCAATGAATTGAACATATATAACAAAGAAATTTCTAATGAAAGAAAAAGTGAATTGAGAGAAATTCTTGAGAATTAATGCTTCATCTTGCCTGCGTGTATTAAAATCAGAGATGAAACATTTGTTATTTTAATGTAGTTATATTTTTATTTTTATTTGTATATTATTACGTATATTAAATTTGTATTTTGGCTTGTAGCCCTTCTTTACTCTCATTTAACATACATTCATCTTTTACAAAGAGATTAACGAATCTGGAATGTATTAAAATTAATGGGCGATATTGTATTTTGAATATATATCAAACAAAAAAATATATTATATTTAAAATAATAATATTGCAAATTATACTAACTTTTACTGATCCTCTTCTATAATGCTCCTGTAAAAAAAAATAATTAATTAAAATATAATAATAAAGATACGTTAATTGCAAAATACAATTGTATACTGTTTTGTTTATAAGAATAAAAAATAAGTGTATAAAACATTTCTTTAAAAATATAGAGATTGCCTTTATCATATACATAAATTATAATTCATTACCATCCAGCTTTCAAATTAGGAATTTTTATTTTGAAATGGAGGAATGCTACCACACAATAATATCGACTGTTATTTCAACATACAATTTTTATATGAGTCATGGATAACCAACGTGTTATAACATACTATAATTTTGCTGAGAAAAGCTAAAAGCTTGGCTTTCCTCAGCAAACACCTCAGATGCAAAACATGTACACAAGTAATAATATAATATATAATTAATTTAAAGAAATAAAACTGTGCATGTCTATAGCACCAATTCTCAATTGCTTATATGATTGTCTTTTTGAATAAATTATAATATTGCCATATATGATTAATAATAATATAATACTACTGTTCCGATATACATTGACATACCAAACTACAGTATATATTTCGCTCATTACATATATTACAGATTTTCAGTATTGGCAACATATATTTGAATTTGGTTCACATATATCAAATTATATTCAGAAAAAGTATGCTTTTTTTGATTTAGCAAAAATTCTTGAATAATTATATCATTAAAACAAAAAAATAAAATAATTTTTAATATTTAGAGTGCAAATAGAAAAAAAATGTAATAACTTATGTTTCAAAATTACATTTTATTTTCTTTATTGTTTTTTTTTAACTTAATATTTATAAAAAAGTAACTATTTCTTTTTCTTGGTGTCATTCTTACTTACCGACTCCGACCGTTTTTTCTCATATGGTTTAGACCTGCGATGTCCACTACTGATTGATGGTTCATAGGGATCATCATAACCTCTATTTCTTTCTTGTTTAGACATGTTTTCTTTGATCTAATGAAATTAGAAAATCATTAAAATTAAATGTTTTGAAAAATAATTCCACTGATTTATCACACAATTTACCAATCTTTAACTAAGCAGGATATTTGAAAGAAAAAAAATGTGCTCTTGATAATTTTGTATCAACTTTCCGGTTTTTGAATATCAATGTTTCAATATTCACTATCACTGAAAATTTATAGTATGTATTACGTGTATATAAATTACTGGCAATAAATATTTGAATGTTCAGAAATTGAGCCCAAATAACATAGAGATAAATCCGGTGTGCATTTATACTATAATATACGTAACACAGGACGCCTTCCATTATACAATCGACACCGGTATCGTTCTGTCTTTGTTACTCATAGAATGCCAAGAAAGATAAGCCAATATTTGTATCGGTGTGTGTCACTAAACAGAAAGCATCGGTAAACTGTAGCCTAAAACTAAGATATCATTCTCTGAATGTCCTCAGCCTTCACATTTCTTTGATTAAGAACTGTAGAAAGATATCACCAGATATTTTCTAATTGTAGTTTAGTTATTAGAAATTAAGAAGATATTTAAAATTTCCAATTATTAAAAATCCTATGAATTCTCATAAAAATGCTATATCCAATGTATCAATATTCGTTTCAAAATGCGAAGCATTTTGAAAAACGAGAAGAATCTTATATCTTTACAGTACTTCCAAACATACGGCAGTTAATATATTCTATATAAAAAAAAATGCTATTACAAAATTTCTGCGTGCACTTTTCAGGTATAACCGAAGGTTAAAAATTAAAATTTCTCGATTCTATGTTTAATGTTACATAGACTGTGTTCGCTTTTGCGTGTCACAACTTCGCTTTTAAGTGTTTCATCCTTGTTATTTCACGACTTTTATACGATTCATAGATAACCAATGTGTTGTAATTTTGACGAAGGCTAAAAGATTAGTCGAAACATGTATACAAGTAATGATATAATACATAATTAATTTAAAGAAACAAAAAACTGGAAATATTAAACAAGGATAATTGATGCGCGTGAGCGACAAAGCGAACGCAGCCATAGCTACATTTTTAAGATATGTTCGGAATTGCGGTGTTGATATATCGTTTTATCGTTTTATCCTTCTTTATTACAGGTGAATAACAAGGATAAAGAGCGTGTCCTTATGCGAAATTTGGAACACATCCATATTGTATGAATATCACGGCTACATTGATGTACATTATGCTTCGTAGTTCATTAATTTACAACGCCGGATCAATATCGCTAGTCTACCAAAGGACTTTGATTCTTTCCCTCGGAAATTTTCACAAATTGAGAAATGACCACTTTTTTATATTAATGCTCATAGTCCGTGCACGATTAACGACACTAAACTTTACGTCCGCTTACAACTGAATTTGATATAAAGATGAAATAACCTAAATTTTTGGAAATTTTAAAATAACCGAGGGAAAGAATCAAAGTCCTTGGATATACCTGTTAATTAACACAGATATTATCAGATGAATTAATATGTAGTTTTGAAAGTTACAGTGATATTCGCGATTTTCTAAAGTGAGAAAGAAAGTTCTAATGCAGGAATAAAAAATAAACCTCATATTAACAGGTTTGTTGTAGCGTTGTTCGAAAATATTTCACTTTGAAACGAGATAAATATTAGAGTGTGAAAGAGAAAAACAAGAGAAGAGATTCCGAAAAAATTGCAAGCAGTGCAAAACTTATCGACTGTCAGATTCAAAGAAACATCAACGCTTTATTTTATATTTGTCTCGTGCCAATCAAAATTTTGCTTTCTGGGTCTCCATTTTTGAAATGTACAACTACGGAAATATTACAATACACGTTACATATACTATAACATTTATCTAGTTATTCGTATAAATTTCTTTTCAAGAATAGAGGCCTTGGGACTAACATGAAGATTTCATGTTAAATCTCAAGAATTCAAATGCACATCCTCACTTCTATTTACCTTCGTGTTTCGCTAATTATTCTCCACACGACCAAGTTGGACGAAGTTTCCAAAATTTCCCGAGATTCACCGCTATGTCGAGCACTAAGATGATAAACAAATGACGCTGAAATCGTCGAGGCTGGCCGACGTGTGTTGATGCTCTACTGATGGCTTGTTAACCATAATATATTATTTCGTCATTTAGTTCACTAACCGACTAATCATGAGTAGCCTATTGTATAGAGAAAGCACGATTGGTCCCATTTGAACTTAAAAAACCGTTGTCTCGACGATTACATAGATTTTTTAATTGAGTCAGTCCACGTCGAGCGTGATCCATGAAGTTTTACGAAATATAAGCACAGATACAGAAATACCACAGAATACAGTTGATACAACAGAAATAACAGAAATTAACGGGACGAAAAAACACTACCGCTTACAGCGTACAAGAAGGACTGAAGAAGCGATTAGAAACGATGCTACTGACGACATGACGCGGTAAAACGTTACTCGAAACGACCAATCAGCGATAGTGTTCCCCCGCAAGCAACGTCCTAGCAATCTCTCTCCTCCACAGAATGTGATTCACATTAACAACCTGTAGCAACCCTAGCAACGTTCATGAGACTACACTTCATTCTTGTCGTTTATCGAATATAAACAAGGACAAATGATGTTTACAAAAGCGTGAGCTTCGAATGCGTACGCAATTGCTAGAAAAAATGGCAATAATGAAAATTGTTAATTAACAACGAGGGCCTCAGGCAGTTTCGTGGCCCGGGAATGCCGAGCGCCGGAGCCGGGATACATAGAAAAATTCTGGGAGAAATGGTGTTGCTATTGGGAATGATTTTTTTTCCTGCAACCTCAGTATTTTTATTCGATATGGGCAATACGAGTGGACAATGGTCAACGACTATTTGAAACCACCCGACCATTTCAATGATATATAAAATACATGTTACACGAGAGAAAAATTTTAGGCACTGCTGTAGAGAAGATTAAAAATTTTATGTATAAAAAAAATATTAAAAGACGTAATTCGCTCGATATTGCCAAAACTAAAAAAATATCATATAAATCAAAAAATGAGCAAAGAAAAATCTAAATTTAAAATAATATAATATTTTCGTAAAAGTTACGTTCCATGATAACTTTATGATATCGAATATTAATTTTGTAATGTAATATGAAATATTATATTATTTTAAATCTTTAGATCTTTCTTTGCTCGTTTTTTGACCTATCTACTTTTTTAGTTTCTATAAACTTTAATATAAATTTAATAATTTTATTCTGTAACTCTCTCTGAGCCATTTCGATCCAACTTAACTTTAATTAACGATTCACTCGATCGACAAGAATGTTAAAATATCTCTAACATACAATTCATATGTTTTTCTTAATTTTTTTTTTGATATATTAAATTAAATTTGTTAATTAATTTGATAGTTTTATTCGTATTACTTAATAAACTAGTATAGGGTAAATAGTTTTTACATTGATGAATATATTGCTATTTCTATATCCATTATAAATGACCATTCGATATTGACCAATACATTGTAATCAAAATGATTCTTGACGACTGTAACGATCAATAATTATTATATGCCATTGCGCAGGTTTTGAATGTGATGAAAGCGTACCCAAAAATAATTTTATGACCAAAGTTACGATTTTACGTTATTAAGAATTTATTAAGAATTTATTAATTATTAAGAAACAGACTAAAGGCCTAAACAATAAAAAGTTTTTAGAAAGAGAATTGAATAGAACATAAATTTTTATAATTTTTTAAAAATGTATGGATAAAAGAAAAATGTTTGGCACATTTTCTAAAATTATTTTCGTATCTGTTCTTTTCCAACATATACCTGAAAAAAAATTTGGGTGTCTCTATACCAGCTAGTACACCCAAGTCAACTTTTAAGTATATTCAGGTATACTTTCGAGTATACCTACTGCAAATGTATCTCCAAATATATCAGGTATACAAGCTAGTTTGTAAAGTTTTAATAATTTCTATATCTTCTGCTAATGATTTATTATTATGAGTCGCAGGAGTGTTTCAAAGTGTTACAAAGATTTGGTAGAGAATGCAAAAAGAACAATAAAAAGGAGGAGAATAGAAAAGATAACGGTCTTCTTTTTTTTTCATCTGTTTCTAAGCAATAACATCGACAATTGATTTTATATTTATTTTGTACTTCATAGAAATGAATAAAAACTTATGTTGATAAAATATGTATTGTAATTTCAATAAGATTTACAAGAAATCTGTAGAAAAAAAGATATAAATTACGTTAATATTAAATTGTTAAATATAAATATATGGCGAAGTAAGCTAAGAGTATATGTTTTTGAGAGTATATATATTATTTTATATAATTTTGTATTCTTTGTTTTTATATTGTTTTCAATTTGAATTTCGGAATTGTGATTGAATTGATATTTAAATAATATATACGAGACAGTTTCCAAATAATTCCAATTGAAAGTAATTATATAAATGATTTTAATTCTTTTCTACTTATCGATATATATTTGTACAGATTACGTTTGTTTTATTATACATTACTGTAGTTTTATAAATATTTTTACTAAGGAAAGATTTCAAATTAGCCAAAGAATTTGTTACTGATATAATGCAGGAAAGCTTATATATAAATAAACAAATAATTCGTATGAATAAAATGAAAAATATGAAATAATCTTTCTACAGCTCTTTTATTAAAAACAAAATATTAATATTAATTAAACTATAACGTTAATTATGGAATTACATAGGAGGTTTTTTCCAACAAGGACACAGTCAGATACAGTGAAACACAGAATTCTGAATTGAATTATTACATCCTTGTTATTTATCTATAAAAATTCTGAAGACAAAAATATTTCAAATAAAAGATGCTTAGTTCTTAGGAGGAAAGAAGAAAATAGCCTTAATCAATCTTGAAGTGTTATAAAATTGCAAAATGATAGAGAATTTTTTTCGATTCAGTTTAATGCGTTCTACACAAAAAGCTTTTGGCACAAATTTACGGGACATCCTTGTACACCTTCGTGACCAACGTTTTGAACTAGACAAAATAGACCTAAAAACTCTTCGTCCCATTTTATAACGCGTCCCAAAATTCGTTGCAAATTATAAGGACATGATTATAAGCTGTTCCTCTTTTAAGTGAAAAAATAAATGTGAAATAATAAATGAAAATAATAAGTGTGAAATGTAATTTTTAATTAATGTGAAGAATTTTATGATTTTTTTTTATTTAAAAACCCAAATATTATTGATTAAATGCTTTCAATAGGAAAGTATAATTTTAAAAAATAAAATGTGATCTCATAACTTAATATAATTTTTGTTGTGATCTCAGTGATGTTATACATTAAGTTATTAGTTATTTACAAATATAATAATATAATATTATTTATGTGTTTCGTTAACAATTATTTTAAAAATTAGGAGGGAAAAAACATCAAATTGCTCAGCTAGTCAATTTAACTCGTGATATTATTGCAATAATTTAACAGAGTTTGCATTTCAAGACCGAAAAATCATTTTGATGAGCATTTTAAAGTACTACGTACAATAGTATGTAAATTCACACAAAATATAAGCACTTAAGATTCATCCCGCTAGACCGCTAGGTATTGATTTCTATATATAGATTTCTATATATAGATTGTTTTCTCACATATACTGTCTTATAAGATATAATATTATCTTAAAAATGTTTATCTATTAAAATTTATAATTATAATTTATAATTATAATATTAATTTTTTTTTAATGTCCCTCTTAAAAAGGAGTTATTCACTTTACTGTATATGTATATATAAAATTAAATGCTAGAGCAAGACTAAAAATTAATAATCGTTTTAACATACACACGTATATTTCAAACATTATTAAGATACATTATCAGGGTTAAAACATCATTAGAATATATTGATACAGTATCACGAATCATAAACTAAAAATGAAATAAACTTTTTCTGCAGAATAAGTATGTGTGTATGTGTGATACGCTATTGTGAATATATTGTATAATTGACACACTGCTATATACTAGAGACATACAATTTTTTACTGTTGAGTTTATTCCAGACATGTCATAAAATGGAGTATTGTGTATACATGTAAGCATTTGTAAACATCGCATGTTTTCTCTCAATTATCAATAACTTTATTGCCAAATTATTAATTATTTTCAACAATTTTATAGTTACAAGATTAAAGATTGGAATTTTCAGATTGATATATTTAATTTTAAAAAGAAATTTTAATGTAGGACTTTGCTAGAGTAATCTGAGAAAACTTGAAATATTTTAGATTGCAATGTTCAGAGAGAAAATATGCAATGGAATATTCTATATGTATATACACATATATGTATGTATAGTTTAGTTTAACAAATGTAAGAATCCGCTCATATCTAAAGTTAATTCTTACAAATGAAGGACATTGCGATATATAAAACGGAGAATGATTATGACTTATTAGGGATAAACACGTATGGAAAATTTGCTTATGAAAATATGAAACTATGTGTAAAAATTCCTGCAATTCCTAGGAGATACTTTTTAATAACAAGTACAATGAAGAGATTTACTAAGTTAGTGAGATATTACTATCTTATGATATTAAATGGATATCGTAGAAGATTACATAAAACTGATTGTTTTTAAAGCTACCATTTTCAAACACATTTATATTCTGGTCTGTATTTATCGTAGGTTGAGAAGCAAATATGGCTATATAATTCTCAATTCGTGATATTAATGGTATTATTTTGTGCACAAATGAAAACTTTGAATCAAATGGCCATATTTTGTTCTGAACAAAACACCAGATAGAAATATAGATCGATTCTTTATATGTACTTTGCCTTCTATATTCAAGCCAATAAATCTCCATAATTATTATCTCAAATGTTTTCTACAAGCACTTACTTAATTACTTATAAAATTTTTTACTGGTGTTACAAGAAAGGGATGCAAAAAGGTATATTTTTTTCTCCAATATATGCAGTTGACTGTATAAATAATGTATATACTGCAATGTACATGTATAAAAATGTCAGATACTCGCATATTTTATATATGTATAAAATATGTGAATGTTTTATATTTTTGCGTCCTTATAAATTCTTATTACAGCAAATATTTTCAAAAAATATCGCGACATGATTAAAAAAAATAATGCACGCAGCAATAAAATGATACTATAACACAAAATGATCTTGCATTACATATTTTGTTAAATCTGTGAAATTGAAATATGAGAGTCTGCAAGAACAACGTTATTAAAATGTTTTCTATATGGTTGCGTTCGGAGAGTGCTATTAACAATGTCATTCTATCTTTACCGTTTATTAGAATCAGAATAGAATGACTGTAAGGATACTACCGAACGCAGCCTATTATATGTAAAAATTGAGCGCCATATCAATTCTATACAGGTAAATATAATTGAGCATATATATATTCTATAATTCAATTTAAATAAATGTTGTTTAAATATCATTAACTTGTATGATAAAACATCGTACATACTGTAAAATAGAAATATACACATTAAATGAAGCATATTTAATTTGATCGGTTTGTAAGGAAATCGGTTACGAATCTTCATTAAAGATACATTTCAGAAAGCTACATCTTATATGTTTCTAATATCATTCTAAAAATAAGGGATACATCTATGTTCAATTTGAAAAATATCTAATATATTAGCATTATCTAAAAGGAATATGGCTGAGCTTAAATACAATAAAGTGATAAAATATATATAATATGTAATATAGAATATCGCTTTTTCTATAATATTACAAGATAAGTTATTTTATTACATTCAACTTCCGTATTATTTACAATAAAATCAAGATATATATCAATGATAAAACGAAAAAAAATGAGAAAAGATATTAAATAAAAAAATAAAATGTTAGTTACGTGTTACATTTTATAATAAAATATATACCTAATTTTATATATATATATAATGTACATACATTGTGTATATATATATAAAATTAAAAACAATTTACTTTTATATTACAAAATAAACAAGATTTCAAAACAAGACGCAGTTACATTCTAATAACACTTATAATATAATCTTTATTATTTACTAGATGTATTATGTAAAAGTTGGAAGAGTATATTACTAATGTGAATAAACTTAAAGTTTAATTTTTTTAAATAATAAAAAATAACAACGACTGTGAGAGTCAACTTTTTTTACTTTTATGTTAGCAACATGTTTGAGCAGTGGCGTTTTTTCGTTATGTAACCAGAAGCAATCAACGGCTATGTTATCTTCGTCTTCTGACTTCTAAAGATGATCTTAGCTGTGGTCGCTTTTTGGATAACGAAAAAACGCCCCATTGCGTGTCTCACTCGGATTCACTGGCAGTTTCCACGTAACAACATCCATAGATTTTCATATTTTTCCAATGATTGTTGTTGACATAAAAGTAAAATGATACTGATCAAAAATAAAATTAAATTTTTATTGTATTGCGCTCATCGAAATCAAGATTTATGTAATAAAATATAAGAATGTAAATATAAGATAATAATAACGCATTAATAACTGCGTTGACTCCCACAACCGTTGTTATTACTAAAGTTGAAGAAATTCAATGTATCAAATACACATATGTTTATATATAATTTTGAATAAATTTATGAATACTTTTCCACGCCATATTATAATAAAAAGGATCCCATCACAAATCTTGTGGAAATTGAATTTCAGTTAAATTGTCAGAAAATTTGATACGTTGTAGAGCTTGTCGTCCAGATAAAAAGTCTCCACAAGCACAACTCTCTGTAATGAACCGTTTGATGTCTCTACGAGGCGTCATTTTTCAAAATGAGTTAATATTATAATATCTTATTTTCAACGAATATGGTGCATTATTATTTGCTCTTTCTGTGTATATTTTTAAGTAAAAAAATAGGATAATATTTATTTAAGGGTGGATTCTAGTCTAGAGGATAAAAAAAAAATCGATTTTTTAAATACATTTTTCGCAAGTATTTGGATTGTAAAATAAATACGTAAAAGGATTTTTGCGGATTCGTAAAAGTTACAAAGATATAGTGCCTGGAATGTAGCTGCGCTCAGGAGCAGGTAATAAAGTATTGTATATTTCGAAAAAGATCAATGGGCGCAGCTCAGAGACAAAAGAGCGGCTCTGCAGGATATGTATGAAGAGGAAGATGTCCTTTATAGTCCTGGAATAGCAGATTGATTGTAAATAATATTATTCAAGTGTTATCTCTACGTAATTAGTTAAAAACTTTAATTGCGTTTTTCTCGAAACAGCATTTTCTTAACTGATGACTATGATTTCTCAAAATCTATTGAGAAATCTATTAACCAATCGCGCCCAAATTTTGCGCACATCTTTAGCGCATATATATATAGTTCTCGTTTGAATCATAAAAATCAAAATGTTCATTTTAAATTTATTTTACAGCACTTTAAAGATGAAAAAATTCGAAAAAATCGGAAAGTAATTTTCAAAATAATTTTTTTTCTTTTTAATATTTTTTTTTTATCATGGATCAAATGATAGCCAAACTCATATTCTTTAAGAATTTTTTTCTTGTTTTTTTTTTATTTCAGACGAGCAAAACAGCCGCAATCATGATCATCTTATTTTTGTTATGATGTTATATAAGGCTTATTTCTTGTAAAGTTACAACAAAAAAATTCTAAAAGATACTTGAAATATGTACTAATATGTAAAAAAAATCCTGATTTGAATAGACCTTACGAATTTTCTAGAAAAAATTCATGAAAATAGCCTAAAAATCAAGCTTCTAGACCAGAATCCTTCCTTAATTATTTCTCACAAAAACTATAAGAATATTGAAGTCGATAATTTGATTTTTGAAATTTAAGTCAACGCTGTGTTGCTTATCTAGGACGCGGAATTTTTGGCACAATTATGAAACGCACGAAGAATCACTGCGCGCTTTGTTTATATTGAGTAGGCCATGCGCCAGTCAAAATATTGCTATCTCATTTTGTTAGAGTATATAATTTAAACCGAGTTTAAGCTAGAGTCCTTAGAATTATAATTAATAGTTACAGAGTTTTTTAGTTACTTATCTAATGTCATTCGGTTACTATAAGAGCGCGTGCATAAACAGCGGAATGATGTTATTTCGACTTGCAATCGGTTGATCGTCCTTTTTTCTAGCGGATATGGTAAGCTCATTATCGCATAATGACTGTAGATTCTCATAAATCATTTGATGTTTCGTAATATAAACAGCAAAGGTAACTGTAAGCGATAAGGTAATCGTGTGATATCGTGTGATATCGTGTGTGTGTGTGTGTGTGTGTGTGTGTGTGTGTGTGTATATATATATATATATTTCTATAATATTAAAGTATTCCAAACTATTCTTCTTGTGCAATTTTGTGTTAACTGTAAGTTATAGTTCAGCGGAATATTAATTCGCACAAGATAATTTTGTTAATAAATATTCTCTAAAAGTACAAGTTTAAATCAATTGTTGTACAAAATAATAAAAATAAAAACGTTCTAATAGCTCAATCTAGAATTCGACTTTCCAAACACATTTCAATGAACATCCGGCTTGTACGAACAATCTTTGTGCGCGTCCCGAGATTGTATTTGAACTCCTATGATCTATTATGTAATTCCTTTCAGTGTTGCTCTTTAAATCAATTATTTTTACAACTACTTTTACAAACAATTCTTTTTAGAGCTATTTTTCATAATAGGTGTTTTCATAACTACTCATATTATTAGTTTTTATCATATTATTAGTTAATTATTTTTTTCTTGTAAGAAAATTATATTTTTTTAATAAATAGTAAAAATTCATTTTTCTATTGGATTTTGTAATACAAAACTCATAATAATCAAAAATATTTATAATCAAAAACCCGATTTGTGAAAAAAATCAGGTGAATATTATTCTTATAACTTTTTACTTAAAAATATACATAAAAAATGCAAATAATGACGTAAGAATGTATCGTACACGTTGAAAATAAGAAATTGTAGTACTAGTCCATTTCGAAAAGTGACGCCTCGTGGAGGTCAAATTACAGAGAATCATGCCTGTGGAGACTTTCATCAAGACGACAAGATCTAAAACACATCAAATTTTCAAGCAATTTGACCGAAATTCAATTTCCATTTTCAATATGGGATCCTTTTACTATAATTATAATCGTTGTTATAAATGGATAATATTTTTACTGTAGTATCATTCTGGAATTAAGTTAAAAACAATTATGTAATCATACAATATTTCTATAATT